TCATTGAATAAGTCCTTTGGAGAGCACACCAACCGTCACACCTCGCTCATTGAGAAGATGATAGGTCGCCTCTGCCAAATCAGCTACCTAATTACTATCAAGCGGTTCTAAGTCATTATAACTGTAAGACTAGTCATACAATTACTATGTCAAACCACTATAAATTGTAAACTCCCCCAACACTTGGGGGGCATCAGACACATTTGAGTATAATTCTCTCCTCCCCTCTCAAAACGTGTAATCATGTGCTCTCCCTCCACACGGAGATAATAAAATTCTGGCGAACCTAGCCATTTAAAGTGGACGTAGGTCGTATTTATCGAACCACTATAAATCCTGTCTTCTCTCTCTTTTTACTTACTACATTTTATACTACAACTTGACTAGTGGTGTGCAAACTAATTTATGCATCATCATAACCTATTTTTTTATTCTTGCAAGAAAAAATTAGGGCCACAAAGGGCTGGAGGCGTGTCTGGATAAGAAGATCAAAGGGGAAATAAAACTTTTACTATGCAAATTGTTCATGAATGTGTACGTGACACCCATTAGTTCCATTTATTTGTAGTCCACTTTAGTTAGAGATATAATTTTTTAAGGTTGTGTGTTAAGGTGACATCTTGAACATTGAAATCCACACACAATAATGATGATGTCAATTAACTTTGTGCGGACATGTTATAATTGCAATACGACGAAAAAAAAAAATGGAACAAAGGGCAAAATAAGATAGGAATCTTAAATTTTCCTTTTGGAATTTGAGGTGAAAATGGTAGTGGTCTCATGTCCCTAGCTAGATTGTTCAAAATTGAATTGCAATTGTTTTGGTAGTTATTTCAAACTTTTCGATTATCTGAATTTGAATCAAAACATGAAATAAGTCAATAAATCGAGGAGAATTTTACAAGAAACAATGGACCATATCACTCTGATCAATAGATACGCGAGTGATGGAACAAATGATTTTTTAATTCAAGTGATTTAGAAAAATATTCATGCTTTAGATTTTTTAACCCAAATTTAGATGATTCAAATTCATTTTTTTAGTCCCCTCTTACCCTAAATTATGGTAACATAGGTTTTCTAATACAGATGAGTAGGATAGGTCGGATGTGCAAACTCTTTTAGGCTCTTAGAGGGCGGTTTTATGTTATTTTTTATCCCTATTGTTGTAACCACAAAACGGCGACACATGGCAAGTATGATCAAGGGACATGAACACCTATATCCAAAAAGTAAGGAGCATCGGGAGCAACAAAACTTATGTTGGCCAATGAGGCCGACAACACAAAGTGTGTGTTTGGTAAGAAATGATAGATGGGATAGGATTGTGACTTCCTATTGAACCCATTCGAATGCGATGGCCTTCCTATCCTAGGAAAGAATTTTATGCTACATCCGTCAAATTTTGAATACTATTTAGCAGCATGTTTGTTTATAGTATTAAACTTGGGTGGTATTAAAAATTATTTTTATTTTATTCATATTTAATAATATATTATATTCGGTCTTAAATTTTTATCTCATCCTTCTCCTTACTTGTTTGTTTAATAAATACTATAATGGGTCCCACAAACAACTATCTATTCTATCACATCTCATATAAGAAATATATCATTTTATCCTTAACATCATCCATTCCATTCAAAATAATTTTTTTAAAAAAAACCGCTGACGACTTGAAATAAAGATTTTTTTAAATATTACTTTTTAAAAAATCCTTGGTTTTTGGGATGTGATTATTAGTCAAGTTTTGCACTCAAGTTTTATACCCGTATCTTTTCAATTGATCTCATAACTAATTTACCTTGTCTTCCTAATTTTATGATATATATTTGTTCATTTACCTAAATTTAACCAAAATTTTATGTTATGTTGTGTTTGTTACTAGTGACAAATATATTTAAAAATATTTTATTTAAAATTTAAATAATTTTTGAAATTCTCTCTTGTTCAATAATTTTTCTATACAAATATTTGTTTTCTAATTGTTATATTTACAAATCAACCAAAATACTTTTATAATAAGAAAATATTACTATCTTAAAATTATTATTATTTTTAAATGATAAACTGATTAAGACTTAATTTATTGTCGTGGCTCACAAAATTAAAATATGATACAAGGATTCTCCTATAACACCACCTATTTGGTAAGAAATAGAGAGAATTGATACATTCATATATTATGTCTTTAATTATTTAAAAAAGTATTGCACTTGTAAAAAAAAGAGAGAGTGAGTTTGGAAGGGAGAGGGATAAAAAGAAGTAGTTTAATTTGAGTTTAAGTTTTCAATAAGGACTAAAGTATAGCTAGAATGTGTGAGTGTGTGTGAGAGAGAGACTAGTGATATCTAATGTACAACACTATTTTTGGACCTTTTTTGACCTTATTATTAATTTTTTTAATTAAATTTAATTTTGTGAGTTATTGGGCTAGACTTCCGGGTCTTAATCATTTAACAAAGAATTTTTTATTGATTGAAAATTTTAATTGAATTTTTTTTGGAACTTATTTTTTTAGGATACTTTAGAAGGAGACACTTTATAGAACTTATTAGAGCGGAAGTGCATTTAAAACAAGAACTTGGATAAAAGTCTAATTTTAATGAAAATGAATGTAATATCCTCTAACAACACTTCCTGAAGCATCAAAAATTGATTATGGTAACCCAAAAGACGTCTCATTAAATCATGTCAATCGTTCTTCACTGTCCTCAAACACAAAATTCACTTCGATCTTCAAAACAGAAAGCCATTGATTTCGCCCATTCTAAATTTCTGAATCAAAATAAGATTTTCAGTTCCACTATTTTTCAGAATCGTCATTTTTAAGATTTGATATTGTCAAATTTTGTGATCTTTAAATAACAAATTTAAGTAACTCGTCACATTTTTTTAATATGTTGTCACATTATTTTTGAATAACTTATCATATTATTTTTTATTTTGTTACATTATTTTTGTGTACTTTGTCACATTATTTTTGAGTAACTTGTAATATTTTTATGTTAATAAATTATTTAAAAAAAATCAATTCATTAAAAAAAGAAGACGACGAAACCAACTCGTCTAGTTGAGAGAATTTCGTCGGGCTAGAAGAGAAGACGAAACTTTGAAATAGTGAAAAAAAAGCCAAAATCTTGCTACACTAAGAAAAAAAGTTATTGCATACTTTGTAAAATGAAAAGTTTCTTTGAAGAAAACTAAAATGTTGAAGAAGACATTTTTTTGGTTTAAAAGAATAATGCCAAATAAATTGATATCAATTTTTTAAAATTCAAACTATTGTATATCTCACAATAACACTCTAAAGAATAATTTTTAATCAGTTATGCATGAATCAAGGCAATGATAATTAGGTAATATTTAAAAAAAAATTTAAAAGTATATTTATTTATTAGTTTTGATTCTTATTTTGAACTTAAATGCTTACATATTAAAATTGGAAACTTATATGCAAAAAATAATGGTATCTGTACCTAAAAATCTGACATAATTTATTGATATAATAATATTTGATGAGACTTATAGTCAATCTGAGAGTCACAGTAAATTAGGTCAAAAAATCATATCAGTAAATTAGGTTCAAATAATATTTCTTCTTATGCAAATAAGATCTAAAAGTATATCCACACCCAATTTTTTTTAAAATTTTTATGTATTTAAATTTTTGATATAAAATATATTATAGAACTATAAATTTGCGGCCCCCTTTTTTAATAGGGGCCTAAAGTCCATGTTTTGATGGTCTTATGTTTAGGCAGACCTTGAATGCCAGAGATAGGTTTGGAAGAAATGATTGATAATAACAAGACCGTTGACTAATTAAAAATATTCGCAAATTTTATTTGCCCCCCTCATAGTTATGCTCATTTGCGGATCACCTCCCAAAGCTTCTTAATGGGATATAACCTCTTATAGTTAGTAGATTAAAATGTACTATTATGTTTTTGAGCTAATCTCATTTTATATCTTTAAAAATATTTTAATTTACACCATTAATATTATAAATTTGTAATAATATGGGTCTGCCTTATATAGTCATTCAATTTTTTTTTCAATAATGTTACAATGATCAAATTTTGGGACTAAATTTAGAACCCAAATGACATGACAGTTAACTTGAGCTTCTTTTTTTTGGTATCATGTCATTTGGGCCCCAATAAAAATTTAAAATAATATGATGTCACGTCATTTGAGTTCTAAATTTGATCAATATAACATTACTCATTTTTTTTTTCATAAATTAAAGTATGTGAAGTGTCGGTACTTCGGGCATGGTGATGAGACATGTCCATCACTGTAAATATTTGTCTACGATCAATAAAATATAATTTTATTAATCAAATAAAGGCTAACCATACGATGTGCAACTTACATGAGGTGTGTCTATCGTTGTAAATATTTGTTTGCGATCAATTTAGCATCATTTTATGTATCAAAAATATGATTTTTTTTAATCAGGTAGAGACTAACTATATCATGTGTAACTTACATGAGGTACCAATAGTTTATAAATTTACAAATAAGCCTATAATCGAAAGCACTTGCAATTTACGTATTTCAATTTATGATAGAAAACTAAACAATAGTGTCGGATTTATATTACTATCAATTCATAAGATTGAAGTTATAAATTAAAATTTTAATATCAATTCATCCAATTTAATCGTCCGTCCTATAAAATACATGCGCCTAGTCTGCAAATTGGCATAAAAAAAGCATGTTAAAAAGACATTAAGGGCCATAATCTCTTCTTTTAATTCTAGCATCTGTCTCATTCTCTTGCGTTTCTGCTCTCTCTTTCTCTCTCTATCTGTGTGTGTGCCAGGGACACCCACCTCCCTGTCTACAGGCGACGCGACCGGCGATCACCAACCACCTCTTCAGTCCAACGATCAACCACAACCACCCAACTCCTCTTTGCAACGATCAACCTTTTTCTTGTTTTTACATCGATCAACCATCACCATCACCATCACCACCACCACTTGAGTTCGCTCAAACACAGGGAGTGTTGGCGACTATGTGAACAACTTACGAAGCTTCTCTGCGAATATCAATGGCAGAATCAATTTTTGGACATCAGTTTCTTTCTCAGGTCATTTTGATTTTTAAATTTCCAATTTCAATTACATTTTATTTTTGTTTCAATTTTGGATTGACTCCAATTTGGATTCGATTTCAATTCTAGTTTGGTTCAATTCTGATTTTGATTTGCAATTTTGTTTCAATTTGATTGTCATAAGCGATTCTGGTTTGATTTTGATTCGTTTCCAGTGAAGAAAAATTTAAATTTTTAGACTTGATTTCTGGATTGAACGTCGGGTTTATTTGCTCTACGATTTTAATTTTTATTTGTTCTGATTTCGACTGAAAAAAAAAAGGTGTTGGATTCCTGGTTGGTTTGATTATGGTTAATTTCCAAAGACAAATTTAGTTTTAATGGATTGATTTTCTGGATTGAATCTTTTCAGTCTCAATTTTGGTTTGTTCTAATTTTGATTTGCAATTTGGGTTGAATTTTGGAATTGAAATGTTGTTTTTAGGTTTGCCAGAGAAGAAAGGGGTTGGTCGGCCGGAGAAGAAGACACGAGGGTATTTAGGTCATTTTAATTTTTCCGTTAACAAATGTGACGGTGCATTTTAGTCCATTGAGAGGGTTATATGCCATTTTGGAAGCTAAGGGAGGTGATCTGCAAATGAGAATAACCACAAGGGGGTTAAATGAAGGATATGTTAAGGAGTAGGGGGGAGAGAGATGAATTGGATAATAGGTCTATGGGTGCTGGAGTTCGGGACTCATCGCATGGACTTTTGAGGGTTATGATAGTTTTGATTACTTTTGTGGCCGGTGTGGTTATTGGGTTGACCTCAAGTTCACACATCCAGAGTTATTTTACTTTCCAATCAGACCAGTTTTATAAAAATTATGCATTGGCTCCAATGGGTTCTATTGGCAACAATTGTAGTGTAGTCCTGCATTGTGAGAAGGAGGACTGTTTGAGCATGAAGAGTTTTATGAGACCGAAGAATCTGACGCACAGTATGTCGGATGATGAGCTCTTTTGGAGGGCTTCTTTGGTGCCAAAGAAGGCAGAGTATCCCTTTGAAAGAGTACCTAAAGTGGCGTTTATGTTCTTGACAAGGGGACCTTTGCCAATGTTGCCACTGTGGGAGAGGTTCTTTCAACGTCAAGATGAGAAGCTATATTCAATTTATGTGCATGCACTTCCTGGGTTCAAGCTTGATGTGACCAATACCTCTGTTTTCTACAGGCGTCAGATCCCTAGTCTGGTATGACCTTGTTCAACAATTATTAAGGTTCTTTATCTTGTTGCTTTTATGTCGTAACATAGTCCAAATAATGACGGAAACAAGTATAACATTGTTTTCTTTTTTTTTTCTCCCTATAGAAAACATTACTCTTGTATTAATAATTAAAAGATAAGTTACATAAGAAGGGGTTGGATAAGACATCCAACTAAGAGCAACAAAAAATAAGAATAAAACGAGCTTATAAATCACATGAAACCCTACATCCTGCGAAAATAGTAAAAAATGGAATTTCAGTGAACTCCTTTGAAACTAAAGCACAAAAAAAAAAAAAAAAGATGCTAAGAAATGAATATGATCCAACATTCCCTCCGATCTTAAGAAATTCTTGTATTTCGTTTTTTCTAAATAACCAAAAAATGTGGCCATAATAACATAATTCCAAAGAGTAACACCTTTATCAAGTCTTCCCAAACCTTTCATGTCTTCAACAAACAAATAAATTGATGTTGCAGGAATAACCCAACTCAAGCCTACTATATGAAACAAATGATAACAAAATGTCAAGGTAGTAGGACAATGTAGAAAAAAATGGTCAAATTCTGAAGATCACTTTTACACATCACACACTATTGAAGGGAAAAACAAGATTGAGGCCTCCTTTTTTGAAGCATGACATTAGGGTTAAGCTTACCATGTGTAATCGTCCTTACAAATATTTGAATTTTAATAAGGACTTTAGCTTTCCAAATTGTCAAAACAGGAATGAATGAAGGACAATTATTTTCATGGAATCAAGCATCCATCTTCTTGTATCACAAGACTCAAGATTGACAAAAACATTACTAAGAATATCAAGGACAAAATCAATGGTAACACTATCATCTAAATTCCTATGAAACCAAAGTCTCATGAATACGGATAATCATACGAACGAAGTATAGACGCAATGGAAAACCCATGAGAATAAGATAAATGGTAGAGACGGGGAAATAAATATGAAAGAAAAGACTCTCATCCACACATTCTCCCAAAAATGTATTCTCCCAATTACCTACAACCAGCCTAACACGTTGGGAAAATCTTTTCAATCTCTGAGAAATGAATTTTTATGGAGCTCAAAAACTCACCTTTTCAAGCACATTAGTGCCCCATCCATTGATATGTAACTCATATTTGCTCTTGATAACTAAATGCCACAAATAATTTGTTTCCAAGGGAAACCACGACAACCATTTACCCAATAATGCAAATATTTCATGCCTTCATATTGTCAATTGAGAGACCACCTTTATCCCTAGAATTAGAAACCACCCCTCATTTGACAAAGTGATCATTTCTCCCTTCTCCGTTACTTTCTCACAATGAATTTCTCATCATTTTTGCAATTGTTATAGCTACACTTCAAGAAATTTAAATAAAAATAAAAAGTATGCGGGAATGCTAGCTAGAACTGACTAAACCAAAGTAAACCTTCTTCCTTTTGATAAATAAGCATTCTTCCACCTATCTAGTCTTTTACCCACTTTTTCAACCATCGGATAACAGAAAGATAATGATAATAGATTCGCACTCAACGGTAATCCCTAGTAATTCAAAGGCCCTTCACCCACCTCACAACCCAAAATACTTACCATCCTATTGATCTTTAAGTGAAATTCAGCTTGAAGAATAAAGCAATATTGTTTGGCAACTCATAGAGTTGCAAACTTAGGAGGTAGAATATCAATGAAAGTTGTATATTATTGTCTCTTTTTTTCTCTTTTGGTTCATTTTTTGTCATTGTAAAAAACTACATCGACTAACATGTTTTCCATGCTTGAATAATAAAATTGAAAAATTAAAAGATCAAAATCAAATTAAAACTTGAATTCATCTACATGCAACGCAGGTGTGCATGAACTATTATATTTAGAAGGTACCAGAGGTATTGGTCTGAGATGACTGAAATGTTGAACTAGAGATTGAAAGGTCTATTTTAATCAATGCAGCACTCGTTTTGTTCCTTAACTGTGTACATAGTTAACTATAGGACCAGTCACCCTTTGCAATGGCAGTGCGGACAACAATGTCAAGCTGCCGAGTGCCGAAAGAATTAACTTGCTTAAAAGATCTGTATTCACAAACGGTGATGTTGAGTGGATAATCTGAGTGCATTATAGAAACCTTTGGACAGGTACCATTATGCTATAAACTGTTGAGGTCTTTTGTGGAAGTAGTTTTGATAGTTGAGCATGGCCACTTATGGCAGGGCATATGGTAGAAATGGCTCAGGCTTATCTGGAGGAGGGTAAAAATCTGGAGTTCATCGATAGGATTATCAAAAGTTGGATAGTACATAGACAAATGGTTTGCTGTACATCATAGTTGATTGGTTTTCTTTGTCCCCCGAGTTTTTGCTGAAAAAGGAGAATGGAAAAGTGCAAGACATGAAAGGACTTATGTAGATGAGTCATCGTTGACATAGCAAGTGTGGAAATACTCGGTGGTTAATGGGTCAAAAATATGGGATTCATTGTTTGGTATCCTTTTGAGCTTGATCAAGCTTTGCATGCCCCCCATAATATGCAGTGTGAGCCTAGGATGGTGGTTAAATTAGCTGATGTATTCATCAATGCATTTAACTTCTAAACTATTGTATAGCACAGCCACGTTGAATGCAACTCACTACCATGGCCATTGTTGCAAAGTTATTGACATTCATGGAGGATGTTAAGGCCGTTTTGGTAATGTAAAAGGTTTGGACCCAAAAATCTGAAAATCAAGATTGAAAATGCCTCTTATGTTGAACGTTAAACTTACTGGGGCAAATTTATAAGTAGAAATATGCAGGAATTAGTATATCTTTTGATTTTGATGGATTTCAAGTGGAAGAAGGATTTGAACTTTTCTCAGAACGTAAGAAGAATGTGAACTTGATGACTACTGAGTTGTCCATCAACAACCAGTCCAATACATGACCTGAAGTGATCAGGTGAGATGAATCAGCTGAATTTTTTATCATAACATGGACCTACACACACACACACACACTATTTTGAAAAGTGGAGGAGAATTTCCGTTAGATGAGAGAAGTAACATTGGCATTGATATGTCAATTTTTTTAAACGAGATCTGTGAGTTTGTGTGCCATCAATGTTACCAAGATACATAGGAAACAAGACTTCTCCACTTGTGCGCATGTGCACTTCTTGTATCTTCTATGAATATTAAAAGCTACTTGAACCAGTGCATTGATGTTATGCTGAACTGCAATGCAATAGGTGGTTAACATGCATTAACATTTTGTGCATCAGAACTCCACTGAAGAAGAGACATAACCTATGTATATGGTGGTGCTTTTTTCCAAAGATGGGTCTTATAGGTAAGGAAAGACAGGAAGATGAAGACCAGATGTACTTTATTTATTTATTTATTATTATTATATAAGACCATGTTATCATAATGGTTTAGTGGGGATTAAGATTTGCTGATATGATCTCTCAAGTGTATCTATGTTAGTAGGATGTGATGGAAAGAAATACTTAATATGCTGTATATGGGTGGAATAGGAAATTTGTAATTTTTCAGTTCCAGATCTTTTTCTTTGTTTCTGAGTCATTTGGCCTGTTTCAGTAGACAATGGCATTCACTTCATTTTTTGCATTCTGCAATATTATGTACAGTTCACGTATACATTCATTTACTTTGCAAGCCTCTACTTCCTGCTGTAAAATTTAACTTCCTCTATGGTGCCTTTCAGAATGTTCGATGGGGATCGGTATCCCTAGTAGATGCAGAGAAACGACTTCTAGCCAATGCCTTGCTTGACTTCTCAAATGAGCGGTTTGTGCTTCTTTCGGAGAGCTGCATCCCAGTTTACAGCTTCCCAACAGTATACAAGTATCTAATTGAATCTGTCTATAGCTTTGTTGAGTCATATGATGATCCCACCCGTTATGGGCGTGGCCGTTATAACCGTGCAATGAAACCTGACATCAAGCTCCCTGATTGGAGGAAAGGGTCCCAATGGTTTGAGCTTAACCGGACTTTAGCAGTCGCACTAGTGTCGGATATCAAATACTACAAAATCTTCAAGAAGTATTGCAGGCCTTCTTGTTATCCAGATGAGCATTATCTTCCGACTTACCTGCACATGTTCTACGGAGCCTTAAATTCTAATCGGACAGTTACTTACGTCAATTGGTCACTTGGGGGCCCACATCCTGCAACTTTTAGTGCTGTCAATATTACAGAAAGTTTCATACGATCTATAAGGAGTAATGGGACACTCTGTTCATATAATTCTGGGAAAACAGATGTGTGTCACCTCTTTGCTAGAAAGTTCACTTCAAGTGCTCTGGAGCCTTTATTAAACCTCACCTCAACAGTAATGGAGTTTTGAAAATTCTAATTTAGTAAGGACAAGAGTGTTTTTTTTTTCTTCTTTTTTTCATTTTCTTCTTATGATCTTGAGATTTTGGCAGAGTATTTTGCATACTTCCGAAATTTTGGTGGTTTTGACTAATGACTTTTGAAGGAGAATGTACAGCATTTTTTTGTGGGGACTTTGGGCCCTCACCCTCAGCAGGTTTAAGGATTGCTTTATTTATTTTTGCCAGAAATTTGGGTAGAGGGAAAAGCTAGCTGAATTTCCAAAAAGGGAAAGCATTCAAAATCGAAATTTTATGTTGTACGTGCACTTGTTTCTCGTCCGATCTCTATCTTTACAACGTGCATGCTTGTACAGGAGCTATATTTCAACCGTGCAGACAGGCTATGGAATGCCGAGATACACTCCCATTAATCATTTTTTCTAATTGGAGTGGCTCATGGATGAGATTGGCTTTTGAATAGTCATCTCTCCCTCACAAATACACACAGACGTACAAACATTGTAAATTAGGGATTTGTCCATGAATTTAGTCGAAGTTACTCATCATTGTGTTTGACACAAAGATGGACTTTATAAAATTAATTTTAAAGGATGGAGTTTCAAGCAATATTAGATGTTTGGTAAACATGTCACTTATGCAATTAAATTATGTTAGATAGATGATAATATTTTAAAAAAAGTAATTCTATTTTTAACCCTCATGACCAAACAGTGCACACTCAATCAATTCATCTAGATTAAAAAGCTACGCACAGTTGTAACACACCCATTGTTGCATAGAGAGAATATGAAGGTTTCTTTAAAACTCATTGATTCCATTCGGTAATCGAACTGGTTATTCAGCAATTGAAACTCATTTTGATACAAATGGTTCTAGTTTTTCAGATTTGGATATTGCCAAAAATTCGACAGACAAACCATTCGTTATGTGAACTGAAGAATCATCGGCCAAAAAAGCAGCAAGATGAAGAAGAGGACTGGGAAAGGGAATGCAACGCAAAATAAATAACTTTCAAGGTTAGTGAAGACATTGTTCATAAACAATTAGGGGCAGCAGTGCCACACTTAAATCTGGACACTAAAACGTCTACAAATTACATTTCCAAAAAGCTATCGAATTAAGCTTTTGCAAATGTGCATTCGTCGAGAGATGCACTTTTGGCCAAGAAGTCGAAAGCTTGTACTTACCAAACAACTCATAGTTTTGTAAATGGACTTTTTGGTCTGAGAAACTTGTTTGGACGTCTCGCCAAACACACTCTAAATGTCCTGGGAAAGTAGAGGGGAGGAGGATGAGCCAATATAGTTTCAGAATATTCTTGGGAAAAATAATATAATGAATGGATTTTCATACTTTTGGGGCGAACACCCCTTTGGTCACCATTGCTATAAATCCCATGCTATCTCATTCCACAAACCAACTCTTAACCATTCTAAAATAAACTTCCATTCATCGAGTGTTCTCAACCATTCTAAAATAAAGTTTCAATCACAAGAGTGTTCTCAACCATTATTTTTTTTTAAGAAATTTTATTTATTCACAAAAACAGAGAATTACAAAAAGCAAAGGCGAAAACCAACGCCTAACACCACCACCAAAACAAAACAAGGCACAAACGTCTTTTTAAAGAAAAGATACAAAAAACTTCCAACCAAAAACCTTCCAGATCAGCAGAACATCATAGACATACTCCATCATCCAAAAAAACTTCAAACAAAATCAACACTTCAATCAAAACAAAACAACCTCAATATCACCCATTAGTCTTTATCATCAACACAGCTTGGTTTGCAAGTTTATCAGCCACCAAATTTGATTCCCGAAAAATGTGAACCAATCGAAACTTCAAACTTCCCAAAAGAATTTTAATCTTCCTCAATAAGCCTATATACTGCCAAGGACATTTCGCACGTACCCAAAACAGATTTTACCAGAATCTGAGAATCACATTCAATCTCAAACTCATAACAAGATAATCCATATTGCATGACCAATTGTAATCCATTGCACAAGGCTTTAAGCTCCGCAAACATATTCAAGCCTTCCCCATAGAAGAAAGAGGCAGCCACAACTATCTTACCCCATTCATTCCTCACAACTGCACCCCCACCTGCCACCAGTGAGTTTCTTCTTGAGGCCCCATCAGAATTTAACTTCAAAACTCCACAAGGAGGGCACACCCATTTCACCCAAAACCCCCTCCAACCAATATACCACGAATTCTAAGAAAAAGAGGATAGGAGTACAACTTCCCTTCACCAGCCACTCTCCTACAACGTTCTTTCCAAAGTTGCCAAAAAATAATCAAAGAAATACTTCAAATCAAAGTATGACTCAAAGAATTCTTTTTAAATATCCTGCACAACCTTTTAAACCTCATTAAAGGGCTCTCACCATGAATTATCTGGAATCCACACACTGCAGCAAAAGTAGACCAGATCTCCCTGGCATACTTACAATCAACAAATAAATGCTCCACAGTCTCAGTGTTCGCATAACATAAACAACACCTGCTCACAATTAAGACCCCAATTCTCATAAAATTTGAGTCTAACTGCAACGCCCTTCTTAAAATTTTCCAACCCATAAACTGGGCACTAGGAGCAGTTCTAATTTTCCAGATCATATCAGCAACTTCATCATAAACACCCGGACTTCTAAGCAATTGCCAAGCTGACTTGACAGAAAAAATTCCAGACGAAGTTCCCTGCCAAACCAGCTTGTCATTATGCTCTGTTAAAACAAGACTAGAACTCAAAACCTCATTCCTCAAATCATCAGTCAAACATAACTCCTCTCCACTTAGACTCCAAACCGAAGCCTCAAACAAATCAGAAACTCTGGGAAAAATTTGAGGCATCAGGTGCATCTTAGTCAGCAAAGCACCAGAACCAATCCAGTTATCACAAAAGAAATCAGCAGTTAGACCATTTCCCACCAAAAGCTTTGAAGATTGAACCACTCTCTCAAAATATGGACTTAAAAGCTCAAAAGAAGAAGTATGCTTTCTAGCCAAACACCTTGACAAACTCTTCCCCTTCAAAAATTTAGACTCAAAAACTTGAGCCCACAAAGAAGAACCAGTCAGTAGACTCCAAACCTGTTTCATACGGAAAGCAGACTGAATATCTTCAAAATCAAATTAAAACTTGAATTCATCCACACGCAACGCAGGTGTGCATGTACTATTATATTTAGAAGGTACCAGAGGGATTGGTCTGAGATGACTGAAATGTTGAACTAGAGATTGAACGGTCTATTTCAATCAATGCCACACTCGTTTTGTTCCTTAACTGTGTACATAGTTAACTATAGGACCAGTCACCCTTTGCAATGGCAGTGCGGACAAAATTGTCAAGCTGCCAGAGTGCCGAAAGAATTAACTTGCTTAAAAGATCTGTATTTACAAACGGTAATTCAATTTAACACATTCCTTCATAAAATTACAAACAAGTAATTCAACAAACTCAATTCATTCTAGAATTGATTTTATACATTCTTATACCATTTCTCATACTCTAATTAAACTAGAAGTATATTCAAACAAGAAATTTCATCTCTAATCATGCTACCCATTCCATATACAATCCTAGGTTGAATACAACCCTATCTCTCTTGAAGCGTAATACCGTGTAGTAGAAGTTTCAAAATACTCAAATCAAGCTTTAAATCTTTGACCCCAACAATCCCGTCTTTGAAATTTTGGCAAAACCCATGATCTTTTGAAACGTACTTGTAACTCTCATCGCGTAGAACACTTTTTGTTCTTGGCCAAAGGAATCCGAAGGACAAATAGGCCTAGATCGCAAAGAGAAGTTTGAAGATTCTTGAATTTTCTCCCTTCTTTCCCTGTCCTTCTATCTGAAAATTAGCTGTGTAAATGAGTAGAAAAATCTGATTTTATTCTCCTATTTATGCCCCCATTTGCTTGGCTCTCATTAAGCCACACGTCCTGTCTTTCTGATCCCATTTTGTCCCAAATCAATTAAATATAGTTCTATTTTAAGTTCAATATATTTTATCTAAACTAACTTTAAATTATTTCTTGTGTTTCACAATTACATTCTGATCATGTTTATTTTAGTCGCGCAACACCCGATCGCATCATAAAATGTGAAAAATCCGATTATTTCAGAATTTGACGAAAATTGATTGAATAACTAAATTTTGCAAGACAAATCCAACGATAAACTCTGTTTCATCATCCAAGTTCTAAAACAATTCGAGTTTTCAACTCGAACTGCAATGACTAATTACCAGTTTACCCTTATTCATAAAAATTTAAATTTTCTAGAGTTTTACACACAATGTCAACAAAAGCCATAGCGCTCATCAAACCATAAAATGTCAACAAAAACTAACCTCCTTACTAGAAATCTATTCAAACTCTATGGTCATTCTAGTGTTAGGAAAGGGGATAATAGAACTAGAATGAATGTAGAGTACGAATAAATTTCTAGTTAGGAGGTTACGAATAGGCATCCCCTTACCCGCAAAGGTACATCAACTTCTTTCCTTCCAAACACTAAAATGGATAAAAAGGGTGCTGCTTTGCGCATTGGCTTTAGCTCTCAGCATTTCGCCCATTTGAATTCTCCCTCACTTTTTTTTGTGAGAAAATCATATGAATGCTCTCACCTAATACTCACTCGCCTAGTCATAGTCGGAGACAAAAGGCCAGACCCATAACATCAAGCAACTAAACAATGCATTAGAAGAGGATCTACTCACCATCTACTCATGTAGATGCACAACCAATTAGGAACATACATCCCCATCCTTGCCAAATTATAGATGATAAGAGTTTAACCAAAACCGCTGGCAAGGAAAAGAATGTCCTAAAAGCATCCGTTGCTCTCCAATTGCCTTCCAACCAAATTTGAACATCATCCTCTGGAACCCCTCTCCCCAATGCCTCTTAGAATCATTCAACTTTCCAACCCTATACAAGGCAACTTGACAATGCAGACAAGCCAATATGACTCAAATTTACAACTGAACAAACAAAATAAATATTTCAGACTCATAAATACCTATGGTGCTTGGCAAAAAAAAAGATCAAGGGGTAGTTTGAGTTATCATTGTACTCCCTCTTGAGTAATATGAGCAATCTTCTGCTACCCAAGAGTGATTATTAGTCATACAAAATCTCAGATAAATCCATGGTTGCATGACAGAACAATTCCTGCCACTAATGATGAAATAACGAACACAGCACTAAGTATCACATTGCCCACACAAAGGATCTGAAATTTAAAGCTTCCTAGAACTACATCAATTAGAATCAGAATGAAATCCAATGGCCTGCAACTGGGGCAGTTACTATTTTCTTATTTTCCTTTTATTTTGGGTTTTTTGGTGGGGGTATGGGGGATGGGGAGGGGGAGGGGGAGGGGGAGGGGTGGGGGTATGGTGCTACATTTATTTTAAATGTTATATCACCAAAATCATTATGATCATCTTAATGTTTATCATTTAGAAAATTTTTATCAAATATGTAGAGGACCGAAATACATCATTAATAAATCATCAGAGCAAAAAAAGTGCATAACATTCACGGGCACTTGATGACCATAATCAGACCCTTAACCAGTGACTCTTTTACAATCTGCCTCAAGATTATAGTTGTGTGAAATGACCACGAGACTCTCAGCATACTCTATTAAGCATAAGATTTCTCACCCAAACGAAAAATAGGATATGTGAGCCGAAGTAATCCAGCCTAATTATATACCCCAAAATCAAGTTTCTACCTACCTGTTTGCGGATAACCTGTAACCTGTCCTGCCATTTGAGAATATCCTCCTACTTGTTCTGTCATTTGAGACTGTCCTCCTAACTTCTCAGTCATTTGAAAATGTCCTCCATCCACCTGTTCTGCCATTTGAGAAGGTCCTGCCACTGGATGCAGTCCTGCTACCTGTCCTGCCACTGGATGCGGTCCTGCTACCTGTCCTGCCACTGGATGCGGTCCTGCTACCTGTCCTGCCACTGGATGCGGTCCTGCTACCTGTCCTGCCATTTGAGGCTGTCCTCTTACCTGTTGTGCCACTTGAGAATGTCCTCCCCACAGTCCTGCCTGTCCTGCCACATGAGGTCCCGCAAACTGTCCTGCCATTCGAGGGGGTCCTGCTATCTGTCCTGCCATTGAAGGGGGTCTTGATGGCGGCGTATATGCAGCATAACCTGGATACCTGGCATTTAAAAGTCTCTCAATCTCCTCACGCCGCCCTTCTTTTCCAAAAACATCAGTCACGAATTCACGAAGCACAGGAGTAACACCAACACCATATCTCATCATCTGCCCAAGCAAATCATAACTTAGCTCTAAATTACCTTCCTTGCAAAGACCCCTAATAACCATATCATAGCTTATAACATCCGGTTTGGGATCTCTCTCGCCCATTCTTGTCAGTATCGGTGCACACTCCACAACCTTACCTTTCTCAATCAACTCACCAAACCATTTGTTTGCATAAAGAGGTATAACTCTCAATCCCGCATCCACCATCTTTGTATATATATTCAAAGCATCATCAGCCCTGCCGACTTTGAAATAAGCATCTATCAACGTCCTATAAGTCGTGACATCGGGGTTCAATGACTTGCTTGTTAATTCCACAAACATCTTCTCCGCCTCCTCCATCATCTCAAGCTCACAAAACCTCGTAATGATATTATTGTACCCTGCAACATCCATAGCAAAAGGCTTCGACTTTGCAGTCTTACCCGCCTTCCTGAACACATCCATGACCTCTGAAACCTTTCCCAGTTTAAAAGTCTCGTTCACCATCATATTAATGGTATCCGAATTGACTGCATTGAACGTTGGTGGAGTATGATCATCCAACATGTGATCAAACAAAGCCCACGCTTCTGTTTTCCTCCCATTCCTAAGCAAACACTCCAAAAGCACATTGCATGTCGCCGGAACCATCCTCCAACCCCTATCCATCAAAGTCTTATACGATTCCATCGCCTCCTTCTCCCTCCCTCGATTGAAAAACCAATCCATAAACGTTGCATTCACAGCACCATCGTAAACCGAGCACCTCTCTTTCAATTCATCAAACAGCTCATTAGCCTTATCTAAATTCTCAAGATTCAAAAACCCAGAAATCAAATTGTTATAAACTAACGAATCGGCCCCATGACCCTTGTTCAACATTTCTCTGAGTAAATCCACGGCTTCCCCAATTCGATTAGTTTCTATTAAGCCTTTTGTGAGGTGGCGATACGTCACAGGGGAAGGGCTGAAAGGGGCGTTTTCGATAATGTGTCGGTAGAATTTGAGGCCCTCATCGACTTCGCCTTCATCGCAATGGGCGTTGATTAGATTATTGTAGGAGACAACATTGGGGACGATATTGGACTGTCTGAAGAAGTAATGGAATAGGGCTTTCGCATCTCCGTAGCGTTTGGCTCGGTACATGGCGGCTATGATGGCGTTGCAAGTGAAGACGGTGGGGCGAGTGTTAGAGAAGACGGATTGACGGGCCAACGCCGAGGCGGCGTCGAGATCGCCAGCGCGGATTAGGGATTGAACGCGGTTGTGGAGGTTGAGCCGAGGGCCAACAAGGGCTGAGGTGGAGTCAGGGAGGCGGGGAGCGTTCGGGTCGCGAGGTGGCCGCGGAGCGGAGGGGTCACGGCGGAGGGCGCCGAGTGGTGGCTCGATGCGGAGGCGGCGTTTCCGGCGACGACGTTCTGCGGCGGCCTCTTCTGCGGATGAGAAAGCGAAGGATCGGATTGGCAATAGAAAGTTCGGGTTTTGGTAGTGAAGATTCGGGCTGTCATGGTGGTGAATAGCTAAGGTGGAGGCGGTTGTAGTTGTTGTTGTTGTGGTCTTGGTGATGGTGGAGCGGCGTAGAGAACGGAGGAGGAAGCGACAGAGAGTCATAGTGATGTGGGGTGAGATAGAGTGAACTGGTCGAAATGGATTACAAACCCTAGTTTAGACTTTAGAATAAGGAAATGGAGAGAGCGAGCATCTAAACCCTGACTGTAAGAGGTTTTAAGTGAGTTATACTATTCTACGGTCGATTTATTTGCACCATACGTCTACTTGATCAAGCACCGTCTATTAGGGAGAAGTACAAATGTGATCTTTCTGTTTTTTTTTTAATGTTAACGAGGACCCTCTCCAAAGTCGGGAAACTTTGTACTCATTTCTGCACGAGTAAACCCCAAATATTTATTACAATAAAAAAAAACCTTGAATATTTATCGGTTATTATAAGGCATAACAATTACGTTAGCATTATTATATGTTGTAATCATTCAATATTAAATAAAATAAGTGGACAAGGGAATAACATATATTTTTTTTTAACATGGGTGGTTATTATTTTACACAAACAGTTATATCATGTAATAAGATTAACATTATATACTTGTTCAACATTAAATAAACAATGAGAATAAAAATATTGGGTGTAATTGTTCAATACTAAATAAATAAGTAGACAAAATTTTTATTTTTTATTTTTTTATATGGACAAAGTGACCCCATTTTTTTTTTACAATTAAACCGAGAAAACACTAGCGGGAATCGAACATGGGTCAACAATTCGTCTAGATCTGATCTAACCCCCCTTGCGGTTATGATCTTCTTGTTTGCTCAGGACATGATGTTGCTGAATTGGGTGGGAAATAATTGGCGTAGTGAAACTAGTTTTTTTTTATACCACTAAAAGTTCAAAAAATTGGAATTAATTCCTATTTTTTATTTAACTCCATTAAATTGTAATTTAAAAAAAAAAAAAAAAAACTGACCTGCAAATACAATTAAATTTTTGACAAATATTGTGGGGTGCATATGTTTTTTTTTTTTTTAAGAGGTTGAAATTTTGCATTATCAACAACCAAATCCATTTTCATCTAATATGAATTTCAGGAACTATCAAAACAATCAAGGAAAAACATATACCCCAACTATAATAAAATATTTTCTAGATGTTAACGAACAAAACATATTTCTATTTGTCGACAATATCTTTTGTTTCGTTCAAGTAAAATCCAAAATATCTGTTTTATTGGTTAAAATGTCTGTCGTCTCGAATTATCAACTCATCCATACTACTGAAAGTTTAAGTGATAACAAGAATGAGTTACAAACTTAAATATCTTCAATTCAAATTTTAACAACCAATTAAAGTCAGTCTACTATAAAAGATTTTATTCTTTATTAATACCTTAGTTTTAATGTAGATGACCTACCTCTGATCGGATCAGAAAAAAAAATTAATCAAAATACGCGTAAGATGGTCCAGACATTCTTGACCGTTTTACCCAAAAAAAAAAAAAAAAAAAAGTTCCAAGTATGGGCAACATCATCAAAATAAAATTATCATTAAGAACAAAAAAATAACCTTAACAATGAGAAAATTTACAAGGCAACCACCAATTGTATACTCATAGTTTCCATCGACACCATATGGTTATTTCTTATTTGTAAAGCAAAAAAAAACCCTCCTGTAATTTCAAGATTTAAGAATTATGAATGATCCCAACAACAAAAACAGGAAGCAAAAAAAAATTCCGAATTGATCATTCCTTCTTGAGCACAAGAAGGGCAGCATCATCTGTACAGTGCTGCCACCCCATGATTTGGCATCCATGGCTCTTCAAGACTGGTATTAATGGTATCTTTCAAATTTGCCACAAAAACTATATGCATGGCAATTTGTATATTTTTTTCCTGTTGTTGCGTGGGTTTAAGCACAAAGATAACACCTACCCTGCAGACCTTTGCTTAGTTCGACAGGATTGGAAAAGTTCTTGTAGGCTAATGTCTCTCTTTTCCTGTAGTTTGTTGATATGGATCAACCCAACATTTGTCCTCCTTAACAGCACTGTTCCATCTCTTTCTGAAAATCTTCATTTCAATATAGGATTGCCACCTCACCTGCACACAAATCGTGTCTTGCTAAGTGGCACAACTGAAAAACACATAACAAGGAATTGAACACAATGATGTAGATCATCAAGTGCTGCATAATTATAAAGAAAAAAGATTAGCAAAATCATCAGCTTTAAGTGTTGGATTCGTGCTCAGAACAAAAACACTATCACCTATCTGACATCTTAATTTGCTGGAGAGTCAGTGCTGGATTTCCGAGGTACAGATGCATCATACTTCCTAAGAAAGAAAGGAGACAAGTGGAGTGGAAGGATCCGGACTCTCATGCATCCAATCCTGGACTTATTATTGCGGGCACTGATATATAATGTGAAGACAGCAATGTTTGGAGACTTTCCAGAGAGATTAATGTTCAAACCAAGGGAAGGATAAATAAACGAAACATGGCCAAAGGATGATACGATGAGACTCCTAAAACAGAAGCACATCTGGTCTAGAACCATGTGGCCAAAAAGATGCTTCATATGGAAAATTGAACCCATAGAGGTAGGCAAACACATTTTTTACTGATGGGAGAGGAAATAAGGAAGTTATATATGATCTACCGTATTTTGTTTCCACAAGAACAAGGGTTACAAGCACAGAGTGACTATATGTATCAACTTTAGCATCAATATAAAGCACAAGCGCATGTGGATTTGGGTGTCAAAAGAATCAGGAAATCTTCAAATTGCACAAGCAGATGAAAAAAAAAATCTACCAGAAGGGTATCATAGGGAACTTACGGCAGATCTATTATCAACCTTATAGACCACTGAAGTTGCCTGCATTTCCAAAGTGTACCTCTCAGCTAAGATGAGTAAAATATGTGAAAAAATACGAGGAAAAAATAAAAGCAAAGAGGCAACTTTGGTTTAATATCTTACCAGTTGTTCTGAATCTGACAAGTGCTTTGTTTGTGAAGAATGAACAGGTGCTTCTGAACTTGACTACATAAACAAGGGAAATAGTCGAGTGAGACAAACCAAAGCCACATTGCAGTTGAAGGATTAGTTTTTTCTTTGGTCCTTTTGGAGGATTTAAGTTAAAAACAAATAAAGCTCAAGTCAGTATCATTAGTATCACCTAATTAAAAAATATGGGAAATAACCTGCTTTCTGGGAGGAATTTGAAGATCTTACAGATTCAAGAATTTCAGATTCTCAACAATTATGAGATTTGACTACTTGTGCAAAATAGAACAGTTCATTACTTTTGAAGAAATTCATCTCTTTTGCATTACTGCAGATATGATAGATCTACATGATTTCTAACTACGATAATATGTAGTGAAGACTCAAGAAGTACTGTTTGGTTGTATTTTGTGTTTGTTCTTTTTTGGGTTGGACAAATTGTCCACCTTTATCTCTTTCTAATGTTTTTATCTATTTATCAATAATATAGCTTGTTCCTCACTGAATTTAGTGGATCCAAGAATCAAGAACTTATCTTCAAATCCTTTCAAAAGAACTCTACACCACAGGAAAAAATATATGACACAAAAATTCATAGACGGATTCCCCAATGACATTCATGTTGATAACCAGTTACAGAAACACATCTAACTTTGAACGGTAGACAGTGTTTGGACCGTTATTCAAGTTCATCCAGGCTTAATGTATCAGTGCCCCTGATAAAAAAATTACTTGCCTTGTGTCCTTCTGAAAAACCAAGTGTAGGAAGACCCATATGAACTATATACTCGGCGTCAACCACACCAACATTTTTCGTCCGATCACCCTGTAACAAAACGCTCCAAATATCATTACCATACTCAGAAGAGAGAGAAATAAATCAATAAAGTATCACTCAATTGGGAAATTGCCTGTGCACAATAACCAAGCTGCACATCCAGGCCCCATGCATGGATCAAGTCATTCTGTTGACAGACAAAAACGTCAGTAAAGAAACTATATCAGAAGAATTACAAAAAGATAGAGACATGCAGAACTTGGAATTTATCAGAAAGAAAAAAAAAAAGTACAGTACGAAATGGATCCTTGAGCAGATGTAGGGGTACGCTTCGGGTTGGAATCCCACCATATAATGCTTGAACACTCCAAAACAAGGATAGGCTCCTTAGCAAACTAACTCATTACTAATATCGTGTTTTTTTTTTATATATTTTCATGAAGGTTCATTGCCACAAACTTTTTGGCTGTACCCACACTCACACTTCTAGTCCTCTCTATAAAAGAATGTGGTGTGGCTGTGAATACAAATTGAAAATAATGTGAAGAAGCACTACACTATTTAAGTTTAATCATAGTTACTAACATATATGGTCAGAAAGTTGCTTCCCCATTTATGCCATAGAGGAATGGAGATTGAGTTCGCACTTTTCAACCCAGTCATAAACAGAATGGGATATGGTTCATGTTTAATCATAGTTATTATCATATATGTTCAGGAATTTGTTTCCCCTTTAACAGCCATAAATGGGTCTAGTTTTGAGTTAGTACTTTTCAACCCAGTCATAGACAAAGAACCATATTGATGTATGGACCTATATTAATATGATGATCCATATTAACACATTTTCTACCCTTTTTGCACCTCAAAGAACCATATTGATATATGACAATGTGAGGTTTGCATCTCATATTGGTTGGAACAAAGAAGGTAAATGTAAGATGAAGGAAAGCTACAATAATCGAAAAAGATAAATTGCACAATGCCAACAAGGCACTGCAGGGCTGGTCACTACTTCATTACATCTAAAACCTATGAACATCCACCAAAAGTAGTTAAGCATCAACTCATACTCAATGTTATGTTCCTAAAAACTCCAAAAGATAGCAGTACCATACCTGGATCATATACCATGCACAACGCCAGGCTTTTCTTGAGAACACAGGAGCCATCATTTCCACCCAACTGCAACAAATTTTACTTATGGCATGATAATATAACTTTTCTTCCAGGTAATAAGTAATAACAGAATGCTTTTCATAAAGCACTAAACAAGAAGGTTTTCAGCAGTAAAGGAACAGATCAAGCTAACCAAGGAAATGTTGAATAAAGCACTGAGAGTTACAGGCTTGCAATTTTTTTACCCTACGCAAGGAGGAGATGAGCTGTTGCCATCACACCTTATGCCGCCTTTTAACTTATAGAACCTCCTATTCAAGATATAAGAAAAAATAAGTTAGCAGTTTCGAGTGAATGGATACTCTGACACAGGGCAAGAAAAATGGAATTTGATAAATTCAACTTATATGACTTTGGGACAATTAGAGAATTACAAAAATGCAACTATTCATTTTGAACAACAAAGGGCAACTAATGAATTATCCCTTGTGAACATGCTTCCCAACTTAAGAAATTGCTTCAAAAAGTTTTATCTCAACTGATGATCATAGTCTGTGGTTCTTTGCATAACATATCCCATCCATGCAAAAGAAATTTGTTATCCAGTCAGAGGCAGGTTTTTTAACCCACGAAATCAATAAAGTTCAATCAGTAGCCTTGCTGTCCACATTCAGTAATTATGGTTGTACTTCAGATCATTATTATACTCTTAAGAAATCGTTTAACCTGTGCACTCTTGTTTTCCTACTGCGTGCAGTTATTTGATGATGCACATCTGATTTGGCAAGATCAAGTGCCGGCTGTGATATTTCAAGACCTTCAACCTTAACAATAGATAGATACCTGCAAGAAAATTTTCATACACTGAAAATGAGAGTCTGGATAGCTTTCATCAGGAGATAATATTCATTCTACTTGATCTTCTTATCATTTGCTTGAACACGAGACATATGACATTTTCCAGCAGTTTACAGAAGGCAAAAGCAAAATATCAAGAAACCAATCAATGATGCCATTGCCATCACCAAGAAGTACAACCTCTAAGGCATCAAGCCAGTATGTACAGACAACAGGCAAGACTAGAATCATCATACAGAAGCATCAACTGAAATATTTTTCACAGACTCTTCAAAATGATAAAGCACAATGCGGTCACTGAGACAACTAGTCATGCTCTGTCTTGCCCATATAGAGCATGACCAAAAGGCAAAATCATAATTGATCAGTTCTACTGTGAGATGCATATAGAACAAAGCTTCACAGAATTGTTGTCCCCGTGAAGATTATTATAGTCTAAGAAGGCACAACATAAGCAGAAATTCAAAGAAGTAAATACAACGAGCAAAAATTTCTGAAGAAGCGATATCAATTCAGTAGGCCAACAGAATAACTGCAGAGAATTATAGCGTATGAGATGTGAATAGAGATTGAAAACAGATGAGTCTGATTATAGGAGAGCTCAATTGATTGTAGTTGACTTGGTACAAGACAAAAGCACAATCTTGACATAGTCACAAGACAAAAACACCAATCTAATGGTGTTTTGGTGGATTTTTGCTCTAATCTTGACTACCCAAAGGTTCATCTTGGTGTCGGAAGGTTATCAAAAGCTTTCAGGGCAAAGATTTGTCAGAATGGTGATTTTCAAATTTCAGATTTATTTCCCTATGAATGTTCTTGCATTTTTTCTTTTTTATATTTTTTTTGATTATTTGGAGATGATTAGTTGGTTGACTTTGCTAATTGAGTTGTTTTCAGACTATATTGTTATTTGATGCTAGGGTTTTTAACAGACTTTGATGAATAGTATTGCTCAGCGTTCAATGCCTTCTTACAACGTTGTGCTTCCTTTCATAGTCTGCACCGCATCACAACTTGTCTCTGTGCTCCTTACGCTGAATGATACATAACAACCTCAAAACACCAAATTTTGAGCTGCGAATCTTGACTGCTGATATTAATAGCTCAAGTTTAGATGGTAACTCTAGGATAATTTTAATGTAATTCATTTATTGAATCGATTAGTGCTGTTGATGAAGAGGATAAACGACTCCTGGAAGTCCTTCCAATATTGATCTTCTTGTCTAAAGTGCCCTAGGGTAAGCATCTAAACTTGACCTATTAATCTTACAAAGTTAGAAACCTCGAAACATGCTTTGAAAAATAGAGTTAAAAGTTCTTTCTCTTAATTTGTCTGGCACAGCCTTGCCCATGCAAGTAATATGCAGACATTTACAATAGAGCAGATGTTCTGATTCTCAACCTATAAAGAGGCCTATTGTTGAAGAACGATACCCCCGAGTCAGCATTGTGGTCTCTTTCACCACTCCACCCAACCAAAAACTCACATCCCCCCCCCCCAAAAAAAAAAAAAAACCCAAAACAAAAAAAAAGGCACAAAGTAAAAGATGCAAATTTGAATTGTTGGAGTATAGTCTAGTTTATTAGGGTTTCTTTTCCCTTTTTTACCCTTACTATGATTTTTTATTTTGCATAGACCACAAGGATATTTTGGTCGCTTTGTATTATTATTTGACTATATATATGGGGCTTTACTCTTAGTTTGAGTATCCCTTTTCACTCACATTTATTCCAAGTTGGTATCAAAGCCTAACCTTAACCCTAACCCTAACCTTCTATGTCATCCTCACCAGCAATTAGCAACCTTCATCACAGCACGTTGCAGCCAACAGCCACCAGACTGCCACCATACCAACAACAAACCAACTAAATCCCCCACTACCCGGCGACAAAACCCCATAACTCAGACCACCGACACCACTCAATTGAAACCATTCCAATGAACCAATACTCAGCACCGACAGCAACCCAGCAGCACCGAAACACCCAATCCATTAAAATCAGCATAAAGCATTGACCGACTAAATCCATAAAGCACCGACAGCCTACTCATAGCAAACCCATTGCCCATCCTTCACAGCCAAACCCAATAGCAAACCCAGCCTAAAACAAAACAGCACCAACATACCTATAGCAAATCCACACAGCCAAACCCAATTCTTAAAACATCAAACCAATCATCACCGACAGCCAACAAAATAGCCAACATCACTGACAAGAACCCAGTTACTGCCCAGTATGAAACTCCACCGACTAGCATAAAACTCTACCGACGGCCAAGCGACATAAAATACTACACCAACAGCTATACAAACCAAACAGCTAGCAGCACCAACTGCCTCCTTCATTATACCTAAGCACCGGCCAGTCTAAAAGAAAACACATACCAGACCTAGCCCATTAAACATATACTAAACCAGCCCACTGTCGGGTCCTTTTTCTTCGTTGTAACTTCGTCGTTCACAGTCTTCGTCATAATACTGCCAAGTTGCAATATCTAGGACTGTTTTAAGAGGGGTTGAATCCTCTTTTTCGTTGATTTGCTCTTGATACAGTAGATCACTTATTTTTATTTACTGGAATTCTGGGCACCGTGACCTGATTATTTGGGAGCTTTCTGAACCTTCTTTATCTGTCGCTATTGTTCGACTGGAAGTATATTATTCTCCCTTATTTTATCCCTCTATTTACCTTAGAGTTGTTTTTCTGTCACGTGTGTCATATTATTGTTGTTGATATGACTACTACTGAGGGATTTGAGACCCCGATTGTTGACACCTCTACCGTTGAGACATCCACTGTTAGTACTTCCACTTGAAATGTATTGCCTGGTCGCCTGGATCAGCGCCAACAGGACATCCCAGAGCAGCGCAGACGGGCAATTTCTCGTCAGTGTGATTATTGTGGCCGATCAGGACATCTCAGGGCTACTTGTTGGAAGCTCCATCCGGAGCTTAAGCCACCTTCTCGCAGCCACACTGTTGCCATTGGTAAGGCACCATCACCTATAGTCATTGCTCCTGTTACTGCTCCTCCTTGGCAGAGTGATATGGATGCTATCACTTCTTGCTTAAATAGACTTATGTCAGCTTTGACTTCTCGAGGTCCGACTACTACTGCTGCGACTACTATTGGTATACCTCGTATTTTTCATACTTGCGCCAGTCCGTCTCCCCTTTGGATGCTGAACTCGGGTGCTAATGGTCATATGACGGGTGAGGCTCATCACTTCATCACTTTTGACGAGCAGTTACATACACAGGTTTAGCTAGCAAATAGGACACATGCCCCTATTGTTAGTAGGGGTACAGTCCGCCTTCTAAATGACTTTATATTATATTCGATTTTTCATGCGCCAAAACTGGCCATGAATCTATTATCCGTACATCAGTTAGCCAGAGATTTTCACTGTATGATTGTATTTGTATCTGATTCGTGTTATTTGCAGGACCTGAGTACCAAGAGGATTATTATCAGGGGATATGAGAGAGATGAATTGTATTATCTAGGCGATCCACCTCCAGTTTCACCAGTTCCTCTTCCTCTTCCATTATTTGCACCTGTTTTATCTTTATCTGTTCTTAACTTGAATGCTAGTATTTTGCCTAATACTTATTGTTATGATTTTTCATCACAAACTGTTCAGTTGTGGCATGACCGTTTTGGGCATACAAATTTTAAATATTTATGTATGTTATTTCTTGCTTTGAGCAATGCTTGTGTTGGTGGTAAACTTGACTGTATTATATGTTCCCTATCGAAACATATTCAGACCAGTTAAATTCCTCGCATGCACTAGTTACCCAAGCTATTTGACCTAATACACTCTGATATTTGGGGACCCTCTCCTGTTACTACTTTGTCAGGTGCTCAATACTATGTGACATTTGTAGATGACCATACTCGTTGTACTTGGGTCTACCTTTTGCATAAGAAGTCTGATGTACTCCCTATCATCACTCAGTTTCTTTAAATGATTAAGACACAATTTGATGTCATTATTCGTGCTCTTCGTTCGGATAATGCCAAAAAATATGTGTCTGATGCCTTAGTGTCTCACATTTCTTCTCAGGGTATCCTTCAGCAACTCACTTGTCCATATACTCTCGAGTAAAATAGAATTGCTGAAAAGAAAAATAGGAGTCTAATAGGGATGGTACGTTGTATGCTTAGAGGTATGGGGGTACCAAAATCTTATTGACATTTTGTTGTTTTGACTTCTACTTTTCTGTGTAATCGTATACCGAATCGTGTTCTTCAGCATAGGGCTCCTTTACAGGTCTTATTTCTTGAGCGGACACTTTTTTCAGTCCCTCCTCGTATTTTTGGCTGCACATGTTTTGTTCAGGATTGATCTCCTATTCGTCATAAGCTTGATGATAAAGAGATTCATTGTGTCTTTGTGGGCTATTGTCATCAGTTTAAGGGGTATCGGTGTTATGATCCTATCAAGCGCCGTATGTATCATAGTCTAGATACCTTTCTTGAGCATATTCCTTATTTTTCTTCTATTCCTGTATCTGGCCCTCCAGTTGATGATATTCCCTTTGATTTTCCGTTACCACAGGAACCAGAGCCATTAGTCACTATCATTACAGAGTCATCAGTCTCTCCTCCACTAGAGCCACTCATCCCTATCAGTACCGAGTCACCAGTCTCTCTTTCTTTGCAAGTGTATGTTCGTCACCCTTTCTCTCATCCTTCTGCTGATGTCCTTTCTACCTCAGGCAATGCAGGTAATACTTCTCAGTTTGTTGAGCATATTGATACACCTGCTGTTAGTACTGATGAGATTGCAGGTACTGAGCTAGTTATTTTCCCTGATGAGACATTGTCAATGGAGGTTGATGATTTAGGGCATCATTATTCGCAGCGTGATCGCTGTACAGTTGTCCATTATGGTTGGACTGTCAAGATTTTATATCCAATCTCTGCTTATGTTTCTTATGGTGATCTTTCTCTTACATTTCGAGCTTATAATATAGGATTATCAAATACGTCGGTTCCTCGCTCTATTTCAGAGGCTATGCGGGAACTCCAGTGGGTTCTTGCCATGCAGACAGAGATGGACGCTCTTCAGCGTAATCATACGTGGAATCTTGTCTCTTTACCTTCAGGGGTAAAGCCTGTTGGTTGTTGCTGGGTTTACACCCTGAAATTTCTTACAGATGGTATTATTGATCTTCACAAGGCTAGGATTGTGGCGAAGGGTTTTACTCAGGTACCAGGTTGTGATTTTGGTGCTACCTTTGCCCCCGTGACAAAATTAACTACTGTTCGATTGATTATTTCTTTGGCTGCGGAGTACTCTTGGCCTCTTCATCAGTTGGATGTGAAGAATGTATTTCTTTACGGTGATCTGGATGAGATTATTTATATGGATGCACCATCGGGCTTTCATATTGAGGGAGAGTATGATGGAAAGGTATGTCTACTGCATAAGTCTCTCTATGGACTGAAACAGTCACCACAAGCCTAGTTCTCTCACTTTAGTGATGTAGTTGTATGTTTAGAGTTCACCAGATGTCATTTTGATCATACCTGTTTCATTCGACGGAATACTTCTGGACAGTGTGTCATCCTTCTGGTATATGTTGATTATATTATTATTACTAGAGATGATATTTCTGGGACTATGCAGGTCAAGATAGACCTTGGGAAGGCCTTCGATGTGAAGGATCTTGAATTTCTGCGATACTTTCTTGGGATTGAGGTTGTCCGTAGCAACAGGGGTATTGTTTTGTCTTAGAGAAAGTATGTTCTGGATTTTTTCACAGACACTGGGATGTTGGGGTGCAAACCGACATCATCACCCATGATTCCAAACCTAAAGCTTACTGCTGAAGGTGAGAAGTTGAGATATCCGACTGTCTATCAGAGGTTGGTAGGTAAACTTATCTACCTAGCCAACACTAGCCCAGACATTTCATTCGCTGTCAGCCGAGTTAGTCAGTTCATGCACAGGTCGTATCAGCCTCATCTTGATGCAGTTTATCATATTCTTCGGTACCTCAAGTCTTGTCCTAGACTTGGGTTGTTCTATGCATCAGGATCTCAGACTAGTCCTCTAGCCTGTTATTCAGATTCAGATTATGGGGGAGCATGTGACGGTCAATCTACTACAGGCTTCTGTGCTTTTCGAGGGACTCATGTTATCTCTTGAAAAAGCAAGAAGTAGGCAATTGTCTCTCGTTCGTCAGCAGAAGCAGAGTATCGGGCACTGACACTTGGCACATGTGAGATTATCTGGCTACGATAGATTCTTGGCGAGTTGAAATTTCCAATGGCTTCTTCATCTACATTATATTGTGATAATCGATCTGCTATTCAGCTCGCTTCTGACTCTGTATTACACGAGAGGACAAAGCATATAGAAATCGATGGTCACTTTCTTCGGGAGAAGGTTTGATGTGGTATTGTCACTCCATTATTTGTGGGGACCAGTGATCAGAATGCAGATATTTTACCAAACCTGTCACTCTATCCATTCTTCGGGACTCTGTTGTCAAGCTTGACTTAGTTGATATTTTTGTGCCTAGTTTGAGGGGGAGTGTTGGAGTATAGTCTAGTTTATTAAGGTTTCTTTTCCCTTTTTTACACTTACTATGATTTTATATTTTGCCTAGACCACAAGGATGTTTTGGTCGCTTTGTATTATTATTTGACTATATATATGGGGCTCTACTCTTAGTTTGAGTATCCCTTTTCACTTACATTTATTCCAAGTGAAATCAACCACGTCAACCAGATGGCTTTATGAACCTATGTCCCAAGGAAAAGAAGGGAAGGTTTTTTTTCCCTTTTTTTTTTTTTTTGGGTTTTGGGGGTGGGGAAGCAAAAAATTGACATTGTAGGACTTGGTTGTCTAAAGGTTCAATATATATGTTAGAGATCATAAGTTGTTATTATTGCAATGCAAGAATAACAAATGCAAATCAGACTTACCTTCCTGGGTGGAAGTTTTCAACTCCAAGGTCCTCATCCCACAGAAAAATGTAATCATATTCAGCAACTATGTCTGGATGTAAAAAACGTTTAGCAAACCACCTATGCCATCAAAGGGAATTTTTACATTTAGCAATGCAAATTTCACAAAATAGTCACAGGGGAACAAGTCATAATGGATATATTACCATTTTGTTTGATTCATGGCAGAAACATGTATGGCCCGGTCACTCCATTCTAAATTGCTCCATTCATCCACAATGCCATCATAATGAAAAAGCATTACGACAAAGTCATCTCTCAAAAACTGAAAAGAGAAACGATAAACATTAATCATTAAAAATCTTGTATTTCTGATAACCATAGATAACAGAAGATGTTTATACAAGCAGGGAAACAGCTATGGCTGTCACCTTACTGACAATCTGGTTCACTACTTCCTTTTGCTTTATTCCAACTGCAATGGCCAAGAGGTTCATTGAACGCTTTGAATTGCTCTGAATAGGAAGTATTTCAAAAAAAAGTAAATAAAAGATAATACTATGATGCAAGAAAGGGAATATTCTAACAGGATCAGCATTGAAATTCCCTGCCAGCATTTGCACTAGCAGTTGCATGAAAAGTTCTACTAAAAGTAACTGAATAAGGCCATAATTTTTGTCATCAACAATTAGGATAGTATAAAATGTCAGCAAGCACAGTTATTATCTAAGCACGTTCTCAATTCATAACCAGTACAGAAATCCCCCCAAAAAGTAGTATCATTACACCATTTGCAGGTTAATCAAGTTGCCTAAACAACATGCTCATTTTAAACTCTTTTTCACTGTCGCAGAGCACCACCTGTGTGAATTACCAAGTTCCCTAAACAACATTCAGCATTTCCTTTAATACAATTAAACAAAAATACACGTCACAATTTTTAATCATTTATAATTTATATCTTGCATCATCATGATGCTGAAAAACTAAAGATTTAACGACTTCAAGTGACATTGTCTTCATCAAACCCAATCTCTTTACTGGCCTAAACACAAGGCCAGCAGGTTCCTGAATGGTCTGAATTGCACACACATTGGAGAATGGATGCTTATGCGTTATGGGAAATCCTCGGATATAATGAAGTGTTCTAAAATGCTCCTAGGATATTTAGCACTTAGCAGTATCAAAAAGACCTTTCCCCTATTGGTTTTGGCTAGGCATCATCCAATTGTAAAAAATCCTGTTCCACCCCATGGGTTTACAACTTCAGCCAAGAATGTATCCTCGATTGATCATAATTTCGAAGCCCAAACAAAATTTTCCATATACCATGGACTGCAAGCAATACTTTTACAAGCTACTAATTTAATGAAAGCTTTTGATTCTGACACTATTGAGAATCTGAGCTGTGGCTACACTTACCCTTTCTGCAACAGGACCCCACAAAGGGCGCATCCCCAAGTTAGAAGTTTTGGCAACAATTCCTTCAGGCAACGACTCACTACCTAAAGGCCTGCATTGATTCTAAGAGGGAAAAAATAATAAGTTTTAAAAGCATAGGGAAATTAAAAAAGTACAAAAAGAACCATGTGCCATGGTAGCAAAGAGTTGTCTATGAAAAAGGCAAACCTTGCATATATGAGATTGTGTATTCTGCCTTGTATCATTTATTTCCATTTCAGATTTTGGCCAAACCTACACAAGCAGTTTTCATTTGATATTTGTTAGTTGGATGTTAACACAGAAATAGTTGATGTCAGGTGAATCAAAGCTCAAATACACACTTCTTGTCCTTCTGTCACTAAAGCTCAATTTATATCAGAAACAGAGCCCAAAGACACAGCCACATTGTTTGTCTCAGAATTTCAAGTCAATTTGGAATAATCCTCAAAGATGGAAGACAACAAGCACCAGGATAGAAGTCCTTTTTATACCTCTAAATCTCGAGGCAAACTCTTGCAGGAAAGATTAATGTAAATTGGAAAGGTAAAGATGAAAGAAGGAAGCAAGAGGAGGAATTTGTGCCACTCGCCAAATAGGAAGCTCAAGCAAAGTTTTAAGGAAATTCCCAGAAATGGTAACAAGATAGTTGGCAGAAGAGAGATAAAGAAAACAATCCAAATGCCGCATTATGCACTTTGGGATGTTTAATGATTTCATCCAATTTAAAGTTTCTCTTAGCTATATAGGAAGTTCTTATCCTCTACAGTACACAAAGAATTTAAGAAATATCTTAGGATTATGAAAACAGTAAATAATCCCAACACTCTCTCTCTCTCTCTCTCTCTCTGTGCACGGTTTTCACGGGGAGATAAAGCAAGTTGCATTTTATTTTTTCATTTGGACTGACTGGATACATGGGCCTGAGTTTTATCGTGCAGCTTGGGCATTGAGTTATTCCAATGTTGAAAACATTCTCCCTGAACTTGTTTGTTTTTCTCTCCCTCTCTTCTCTTCCTTTTCCTTTTTCCTTCTTTCTTTACTTTGCTTCTCTGGTTCAACATCAATATATCTTGGTACCAAGATCAGTCTTTAATGGTAAGAAAACGGAAATTTAAGTGGTTTAAAAACTTACATAATTCTATACTTGATAGAATTATGCAAGGCTGCAGCCCCTCTGCATGAGGGAGCGAGGTTGCATACATCTGACTCTTTCCAAACCTTGCAATTGTGGGATCCTCGTGCAGTAGGCCTTTACATAACATATGATGTCTCTAGATATCCTTTCTAATGCTTGCTTACTTCTTCTGTAAATCTTGATCTTTTCCTTTCTTATGTTATCTGAAGTAAGTAATGGGCCATTTTCAAATATTAACCTACTAAATACAACTTGTCAATCAAAGGGGTGTAACTTTTGGCATAGGAAAATCTTTGCGACATGCAAAGCATGCTGAATTTGATGAATAGAAATGCCCCTCCACATGTTTTCATTTGGAAAAAAATCAACACAAACTAAGCTCTTCAGGCTAAGGAAGTCTTCAAATTGAATGTCAAAACATTACACACCAACATGTCACATGCAAAATAAAAAAACAATCCAATCTCTCCTGTGCAAAAAAATGGAAGATAAATAATCATTTAAAACAAGATTATGTACCCTGAACTCCATTGCGACGAAAGCACTCCAAAGAAGTAAGCACCACAAATCAATGAAGCAGTGATGAAGAGACTGCAAAGACATGATTTACTTTTAGGATCCGACAGTACAGAAACCTGAAAAGATGGCAAAGGAAAAAAAATTAAAGAGGAAGATTTCACTTGGACAGCAAAAAAGATTACCATTATCTTGGTCATCCTTCCAAGATTCTGTTCATGTTTGTAAATTTCTTGGTTGAAGATAATCATATTAATAAGAAAAGATGTCCCTTAGATAAGACTCGATGGAAGAAATTACTGTAGCAAATTTAAGTCCCAAATGCACATAATTACATCTAAAGGCAGGTGCACCTCCTAATGCCAACTAACATATTACCAATGTTCCTTTGGTTCAATGGTACTCTAACAAGGGATCAAGTCCCCCTCCTCCTTCCCCTTCCCAAAAAAAAAAAAAAATGCCAACTAACATATTATGAACTACACAACTACTGGCCTTTGGATATAAAACCTATGGAGTGCTATTGTTGCGAGTCGTGGGACATTCTTCTTTTACTTTTCTCTGTATTCTTGTCAGCCAAAAGGAGCACGAGGCTAAAAATGTTAATGTTGTGGCCACTAAGAAAAATGTCACAGGTACAACATGGTGGAAACGGAAATGCTCAGGCACCCAATAGATTGTTAATAACTCTAATAATATAATAAGAAATGTTTAAAAGTGTATCCAAACAGATCCATATTAGTGACACAATCCAATTTGGTGGTTGCATGACTTGTGCAGTTATGCTAGTTCCGAAGTTCCTAACACAGTACCATCAACAAGAAAAACAGTCAATTCTACTTCGGAATCACAAAACCTACACTAATATTACTCCAAGTGAGCCAAGTCGTGTGAAAACTAATAATTATAGCAAGTATAACTGTATGGACTTGGATCCTTTCGATTTTAAATTGTCAATTTTGATCAAGATCAATCTTCCACCACGCAAATTCATAAAATGCCACTGGTGTCAGTTGGACTCATAGAAACTGACTCTCGGGTCGAATAATTTATCGGTGTCCTGCTCATAGAACATGTAATTTCAAATAGTCTAAATGGTCCAAAGTTAGAGTGAGAGAAGGCGATACAGAATGCTACAGTAGCACACCATCATCACCTTTGGCTTGCTGAGAAAATAAACCAGACAAAAATCAAATAAATTTTGAAACCTAACAACTTTTCATCAGACATCAAATGGGTGTCTAAGACCCACTCCAATAAAAACAACATACCTCAAAAACTAGCATTTTATATAGCAGCAAAATTCCATTTTTTCTCTCCTGTTTTTTCTTAGAAACCAAACAGCCACAGGGATTGATCAAAGCAAGAAATGAAAAGGGTATGCTACAATCTTCTGTTTCTTTGCACACAAAACTGAGATACCCAAAAAAAGTTGAATTATTACAGACTTTGAACATCCAATTTCAACCCCCACCCCCCAAAAAAAGAACCAAATTTGAAACTATATATATATAATCAAAAGCAGACAAATACCAAACAAAACTTGACCATCTACTAGAATCAATCCCACCAAGGCCTATACAAACAACACAGACCAACACAACACTTAAACAGCAACGAAAATGAAAAATCCATCCCACCAACACCAACATGACACAAGCCATATACTTGTTTGTACATAGACAACAATATAGAGACAAATTAAAATTAACTCAGAACAACTACAATTATATATACATGCATATATATATATATGTGTGTGTGTGTGTATAGAGAGAGAGAGAGAGAGAGAGAGAGAGATTACATAGGTGTATGTCTTCATGTCGAAAGAAGCACCAAAGACATCCACAGATGTCTCTTGAAAGGAGGAAAAAAATGGCCTTTTTTCAATGACAGGAAAGTATATACACAAAAGCAAGGAATAAAAGAGAAAGTAAAGAGAAAGAAAGCAATAAAAGGTGACTTTGTGTAACGGTAAGACAAGTTAACACTTTTGGCGGTCCAACAAAAAGGAAAACCGAAAGACGAAAAACAAAACTCAATCCTCCTCAAAGGCAAGGAAGCAGTAATACCCCCAAGACAAGATGAGCTTGTTTAGAGAGAGAGAGAAAGAGGGAGCAGATACGAGGAGTACTAGAATTTAAACTGTCTGAGTTCTGTCCTGTTTTTTCTCTGTGTTTGAAGTTGGACAGTGTAGAGAGAGAAAAAGATTCGAGAGAGTGGGGGGGGGGCGAGGTACGCGGCGGAATGTAGTGCCGTGCGTGGACGTGTGGTGGGGTTGTATTCAATGCCAGTATGATAAAATTGTGTTCACTGTTATATTGGGGATACCTATTGGTTTAGTGGTCCCCACTCAGTCAGTGACTAGAAAATGCACCAAAATAAAATACCACAACTGTGCAAAAAAAATAGATATTATATTAAAATTGATTAAAAATTTAATTATTTTATAATTTTAATTATAAAAAACAAGAAAATGATACAAAATAAATAAATAAATAAAATTTAAACGTATCATGCATTATTGAAAATTTAGGTAAGGCTACCTTCTAATGTAGTGCGGATGGTAATGGCACCAACGGGCCACTAAAGTCCTTTGTCAAAAGTCAATTGGCAATATTTGATGTGGGCCCCTAAAAAAATATTCATATTATGGATACCACGTGATATTACGTATCAAAAGAAATAAATAAATAGACTCTATAAAAATTAATAATCAAACTTTTATCTAAACAAATAACAGTATGAGCAATATTATATATCCAAAATTTATATCTCAAATATGATTATAAATCAATAAAAATGGTTGAATCAGTGAGTTTCAATTTAAAAAATTGATAGACTCACACATCTAATAGTTCCCGTTCATTTGAAATATAAATTTGAGTTATCTAGTATTTTCCAAAAAAAAAATCCAAGTGAAATTCATCTTATTCTCTTAGTGTTTTATTATTAGTTGATAAATACCACGTTAATATTACTGATAGAGAGTATCACCGTTACATTCAATATTTACTTGTGGGCCCTTAGGGTGGGGTAGGATTTAGGTTATTTTTTCGTATAATTGAAAAAGTACAATCTTAATTTTTGTAGTAAATTTCACACGCACCTCTAATATTTGGCTTAATTACAGGCACACCCTCCTCTTCTCATGAGATCCCCGTGATTTGGTTGCATTAACAAATAAATCTATACCAGTAATAAAAGGAGAATGTGTGTTTATTATCCTCTTTCTTAATGAGTAGATGTTGGTAATTTATTATATAGTTGTTGTTAGTATTCTATGTTTTTCTTTTATTTAATTATTTGTAACTTCTTCGTATGTGGACAACCTCTAATATAAATCAAGTTACATCATACCCATTAGTATATTTACACCCATGTTCATACTCTCAGCCAAACCCATGACATCCTCTATTTACCCCCATCCTCTCTTTGAGATGGTGAATGGTTAGATAATAATGATGATGTTAAAGAAGAAGATATAAAGTGGTGGAAAAGGTGGACGTTTTAAGAGATAAAAGAGGGGACATTTATGGTGAAATAAGCAAGGCATTGGATACTTTCCTACTTTTAGAGGTTAGGTTAGGTTGGGTGGAATTATTTCTATCCACAAATATTTATTTTTATCTCATTTAATTTTTTATTATCAAATTGTTAAATCTAATGAGATATACATCACTTTAATAAGTCCACCTCCTATGTTATATACATCTATCTATATCTATATTACTATTAAAAATATCTTAACATAAAAAACTTTTGATTCATTATTTTACCCTCATAAATAATTAAAAAAGATTATTCTATCGTTCTACACTTAATATCTAAATTACTATCATATTCTTATGCATTTAAATCCCTAAATTACATCTAAGATCACTTTTAGTTATATATTCCCTATATATAAATGTTAATTTTTATGAAACTTTTTGATTGATTATACTACTCTTAAAAAATATATACGTCATTATAAGTTTTAACAAATATTCAAAAAAGCCTTCAAAAATTCCATCATATAATATTACTCACCTAATTTATAAATATAATATTATGATTACACATTTATTTTTTATTTTTCATCAAAATGTTTAACCATTTCATTTTTAAGATAAAAAAAATGTATATATAGTTTGACATGATTTTTTAGTCATAGTAAACTTTTCAGACTTTGTTACGATTTCATGTGAAAACTTGATTTTTAAAAAAAAAAAATTAATATGCTTTATAATATATATTATAGCATTGTATCAAATTAATTTTCTAATTATCTACTCTCTATTTATAAATGTAAATTTTTATGAAACTTTTTAATTGGTTATATTATTCTTAAAAATATATGCATTATTTTACATTTTAACAAAATTTTTAAAAAAACTTTCAAAAACTCCATTAATATAATAATACTCATCTCATTTATAAAGATAATATTATGACTACATATGTATATTTTATTTTTCATCAAAATATTTAACCATTTTATTTTTAAAATAAAAAATAATGTATATATAGTTTTACATAATTTTTTAGTCACAGTAAATTTTTTAAACTATGTTAACATTTTATGTGATAACTTGAATTTTTTAAAAAATTTAATATGCTTTATAATATATATTATGGCGTTGTATATTAAATTTCATCTCAATTGAACTAACTAATCCTAAACATAGTAAGTTCCAATACGATTGATATATTGATAATTATTTTTATTTTATTCAATGATTTATAAGTGAAATTTTAATCAAATTAATTTTTAAAAAATTTATTTTCAAACATCACTAAAAAATCATTTTCAATTACAAAATTATAGAAACAAAATAGAATTTTAATTATTTATTTTCTTTTTTTTTTAATTAAATTTCTTAAAGTTAGAACAATAACTCTTGAAAATATACAAAGTTTTCAAAGATTTTATAGTGGAGCATGAAAGATGAAAAATAAATTTGGTAAATTTGAGATAATATTTAATTCAAGTACCCATATACCAAATATTTATTTATTAATTTTTTTAAGAAAAATTATTTACGTGCAACGCACGTGGTGCATTGCTAGTTTAATAAGTACACCTTATATCTTCTCATAGTTAGGATTTCATTTATCATCTCATCTCATACACTCAAAAAAAATACTTTTTTAATAGATTTATCTAATGAGATACAAATTAGTATTAATTTTTGGTTTAATTCTATGTTGATTTCATGTGTGCTAAGTGGATTTTTCATTATTTTTTTTTTGTTTTGATATCTCTACAAAAATTTAATAATTTTTGATTTAAAGTTATATATGTGCGCGTGTCAATAGAAAACTTATTTCGTTTGAGATGCTTGTCTCA